GTTTATCAGGAGTTGACGTTAGAGTCTGTTTAGATGTTACCCTTGGGAACTTACAGAGTCAAGTGGATAGAAGACCACGCTACTCCACGTACGCATCTCACCTGATGCATCACATAAAACCATGTGAAGAAAAAGAATAGAATATCACGTAAGAAATCTTAGAAACTGCTGCATGAAAATGATGATTGCCTTGTGAGCAATGTTTTAATCATTAAACGGACTCGTCTTTCAAATGCAACTTCCAGTGTAGGTGCACATTCAATGCTACAAGAGTTCTCAACTGTACCACGACATTTTATGGAACCACATATGTTCTTGTTCCCAGTGTATTTACCCACGCCATCACAGAAACCCAGAACTATGCAGTAATTTACCACCAAATATCATGGACGGGGCAGCGAATGCTGTGAAGGCAAATAGTTCCAAAAATTTATTAGACTGCAACATTCTTCATTCAACACTGGGTGCTGACCTTTACTATTTAATTCGAATTGTTAAGTCGGTGATGCTCGGCCTAGCATTCGCACTATTTGGCCTACTGTCGCGTCATATTAGTTGCTCATGCATCACCCTGTTAAGCAATCGCCATTGCCCTACGTTTTATAATCCTGAAATGTATGTGGCCACCCAGTTGGGTGTGCCAGGCTGAAGGTCTTACAGGTAGTGTGTTCAAAGGAGAAGGATAGATGGCTAAACCATAATCGTGAGCGTCATTTCTATTTGAGGCCGACCGGAAATGAGCTCGAAATGGTTTAACCATTGTGACTAACTCGCTTCCTCGAATTCGTAAACCAGCGATCAGGGGCCGCTCGCAATATTTTCAATGGGAATTCGTTACTAACCATAAGAACAAAAATGATTAGGAATGCAAGTGGTGATGCTAAGTGGGAAGCTAGTAGTCAGCCTACTGGTCAGGGTGCTGTTCATTCTTACCCATGTCACAACACATCTAACTGCCACAAGAAAGATACGTATGTATGTTTTCGTACAATCCACCGTTTGTGATCAGACTACTGAAAAAAAGACCACCCATACAAGGATCTGACGCACTGTTCTTCGAACAGACTAGCATCACAGTAAACGATCCTTGTGCGTAACGTTTGACATTCAATGGTTGCTCAAAATGTTGGTGCTTCGGTACATCTAGCATTATCACAGAATTAATGAACATCATACCGGGATGCATACGTTCAAGTCCTTGTGGGTTTCGAATAAATTTTACACTGCTTGAAGTAACATTCTCCCTAGCGCAATAGGCCAGGCGGGTACTGAAATTTTGCCCCATGTGGGCTACATTAGTGGAATGGTGTTCTGTACAAATACCTGCCACACCTGTTCATCTTGGAACGGCTGGACCTACGAAGTCTCGCAAGGCTGTATTCCAAGAGATATGTCGTCCTAATACTGGCCACTGTCCTCTCTCTCAGTTGGATATTGTCCGTCTCTTCTTTAATTTGACTCTATAAAGACTAATTCAGCGGCATAAGTTTAAATGACTCAGGTGACTTTGGAAGACTGGAAAGCACGTCGAAGAAAAAACTTCAACTAGTGAAATGCATGTCGACTAATCTATACATATCTAATTAGTAAGAGTCAAACTACTCCTTCTGTAATCATTGCCTCTTCAGCGTATAGTTCGTGGGCGACTTGAGTCTTATGCTAACGGAAAATCTAGTCAGAATTGTGAATTAACTTGTGGAGGAGTGCTGGAGATATGATACACCAAGATTATTATTATGCCGGAGATTCAGAGAAATGCTTAGTTACACAGTGTCGTCACACCATCATCCTGTGAAAGAGATATAAACTATTTAGAGACAGTTCAAAGATGTGGAAACAATAGTTGTAATTACTTCTAGAAAATGTGATAAAAAGGTACTGTGGAATCGAACTGTAACTATGGCTATCTGTCTCCAGCTGTAGGATAACTCAGTTCCTTCTACGAAGAAAAAAGTTGACCATAGACACAGACAATGCAATCCAGTCACCAAGAAATACTATATGGCAACCCTCGAGACGTTGCTAATCAGAAAGGAAAAACTCATATACGTTCACACTGTTTATAAGTTGAGCTTGGGACGCATCTATTTCTTTACTGCGAGCCGTAGACACTCGACAATCGGTTGAAGGCTTTAGGGGAAGGGTGAGAAATCATGCAGCTGCCAGCCGCCCATTTAATTTCGCCTATCAACACTACTAAACTGAGATGCGGCCCTCGTATCATGCAGTGTAGCAGGATTTTGACAACTTAACTCTGTGCTTGAACGATGCTGACATTAATATAGTACTTCCATGCTAATGGGTGAAGGTGAAGACTTGTCTCAAATTAGTGCTACGGTCTTAGAGCAGACTAGAAACTGCTCTGCAAGTATAATTAACCTATAACTCTCTCTCAAGGTCTATTGAAGCAAATGGCGAGCCCTGTATCCGGCGAAGTTCAACATTAACGTTCGAGGGGTGCGAATGGTTCAATGACATTGACAGGTGCCTTTAGTCAACTACAAGAATATATTCATTCTTACAACTGAAACATTAACTCTATTCACCACCTTAGGAGAAAAGTTCACCCAAACCACGTTGGGTTAGGAGTTGGGATCAGGATCACAACTAGGACTAGGTTTAAAGATAGGTTAAGGGTTTTTATTAGGTTAGACCTAATGTTAGGGTTAGTGCTGAGTTTAGGGTTAGGATTAATGTTGGGGTTGCGGTTAGGGATGGATTCATAGTTGATGTCATTTGTTTTAAACCGTTTTTATCATCTATATTTTCATGATAAGTAAGTATCGATCTTCTTACTGGAAACCATAGTAATTCAACCAAAGGCTTTTGGTGAAGACTGCGAAACAGAGTAAACAAGGTACACGGTTATTATATGTACCAAAACTAATATGATTTACCAAATGATACTCCTCACTACAACAGGGATGTATTTTTAAGTCATTTAAGAGAGAAATACTCTGTTTCATGCGTTTTCTTGTAAATATGCGTCATTTGTATGCAAAATTTAGTCATTTCATGATTGATAGGCTCAAGGTCACCCATGTGTTCACATACCTTGTGACAGTAATGTTGAACTTTGCCCTTTATCCTGTGGCTCAAACGTCAGCTGAAAGAAATTAACTTTATTGAAATCAGCTGTTTCAGAGGATTTTTTCAGTCAGGATTTTATACAACTAATAAAGTTTTTGATAGCCAAACTGTGATACAGTAACAGCCTTGTTGCCGCCGCTTACTTTGAAGGACAATTTGCCCAAGTAATGCGTTAGGTTTCTTAGTTAATTACGGGTTCACTGCACATGTTTGGTTTCCGTAATACAAAGTGATAATTCTTTCTGCGGCTACTATTTGTCGATATAAATGCTGGATAGCAGGTAAGGCTTTTGAATCAACTGGAGAAGCAAACTGAACTTAGAAACATGTTAAAACTGGGAATTATTCTGTAGTGCCATGTGTATGAATGCATTTTGCTTTCCTTTGTTCATTGATATAAGTTATCATTTATTGAGTGCCACCACACTGATGATAAGGACTTGAATAAATTCGGTTTGTTATGGGTAAATAACATGTCTATGTACAAATTGTCGTTACACTTTTTCGACGTCGTAGATTCAGATGCTGGTTGATTGTTTGAGTAACGAGGGCTTGTAGCTTATGCTAATCGCTTTCTAGTTAATTTCTGCGGTTGTCCAAACCCTTTCTGAATGAATCAGTTTAGGTTGCAGACACCACTTCTTCTGAGAGTCTGTTCCAAGAGTTTTTGAATCGGTGTGAGATCCAGTACTCAACAGTAATATGATTTCTTCTTAGCTTTCGAACTATCTTGCTATGTCCTTTGAGGTATTCCGACCTGGTGAGAGGCGAAAGAGAGAATAGGTCATGTCCGTAGTCATTATTTAGAATTTTAAACATTGTGATTAAATCTCTCTACCTACGCTAGGACAGGGAGCAGAGATTTGAACTGTCTAGTCTCTCCTCGTATGATAAGTTAGTCATACCGAAAACCACACGTGTTGTCTTCCTATGAACCTTTTCTAGAACATGTGAACCTTTTTTAAGACAAGGATTGGTTGTCTGGATATTGTTTTCATGTCTTGACCTCACCAGAGATGTGTTTAAGGAGATGAAAATATCTCTGGTGATTCTAGTAGAGGCTGTGCGAATCGCCCACAAGAATCTAAAACTGGGTGCAGCCACCGCGCTACAGATTGTTGTAGTTTGAAATCGTGAGTAACTATGACACCTTAATCAGAATGAGTCTGAAGTGATGGGATTTTTATTCCCTCTAGTTTGTATGAACTGATGCTTGGGTGTCTAGTGCACATGGTTGCACATTCTGCTACATTGATCGGGAGCATCCATTCTCTCTCTCAATTTGTTGGGGTCCTTTTGCAACGTGAGCGCATCACTGTTGCCCTTCAGCTCTCTCCAAATTTTTAAGTCATCTGCGTATAGGACCATATGGAAATCGGTGAGCAGAGATAATTCATTGATATACAAAGTAAATAGGAGAGGTCCGAGTACTGTGCCCTGTGGCACTCCGCTACGCAGTGCTGTCCATAAGGGGAGTTTCGAGTTGGTCCTAACCCTCTGCTCCTATATATTCGGAATTCCCTAAGCCAGTTTAGTAACCTGCCTTTAATACCAATACTTACCAGCTTCATGAGTAATGTCTTGTAAGGAGCCTTATCGAAGGCTTTGATGAAGTCCATGAATACGACGTCAACGGGTCTTCTGTTGTCCGTTGATTTGACAGGCACGAGAGGTTTCCTCGGAATTCATACTGTGCTTTGGATAACAAATTATTATTTTCCAGATATGCCATGATACTTTTCTTGATGATTGTTTTCAGCGTCTTGATTAAAGTCCTGGTGAGACTAATAGATCTGTAATTTGAAGGGCTTTTTCTCGATCCTCCGTTGTGTATGGGAGTTACTATGGTGTCTTTCTAGTCACGTGGTAACACCATTTAGGAGAGATAGCTTGAAGATCATGGTCATTGGGGCAGCTCTGTGGGCTGATAGCTCCTTGAGAAGCCTTGGATAAAGACTATCAAGACTTATTGATTTCTCTACGTCTAGTTTCATAAGGCAGTTGAGCAGGATGTCTTGGTCGACGTCAATGGAATCTATCCCGTGTTTCTCTGATGCAGCCAGAGCTGATTCTATGGGGAGTAACGACTCTTGTTTAAAGACTTGGTAGAAGTAGTCTGCCATTGCTTATGCTTTTTCCTGATCTTCTACGATTGTGTCACTGTCAATAGTCAGGTTTGGGACACCATTGGATGTTTTATTCCTAAAGTTCATGTACGAGAAAATTTTCTCAGGTTATGCCTTTGCATTTTGAGCCGAATGTGGTTCGAACTTCATTATTGATTGGCTGACTTCTGCAGTAGCTCTTTTCCTAGAAGTGTGGTATAATTTCAAGTCCCAAGTGTGGCAAACAGGTTTAAACATTAGTGTTCGCGTCTAAGTAACTTATGAATCTCTTGGTTTATCCAGGTGGGGAGGGGGCAATGTTTCCGACCCTTTGGGAGCAGACCAAGGAATGAAAGGTTCGGTTGCTTGGGCTTAATGTTGTTTAAATTGGTTCCATGCGGCTTCTACTTGGGACTCTGGGTTAATGTACCAGTTCACTGAGTTAGCTGCTGAGACGATCGCATTTATATCAGCTTTCAGAACGTTTGGTCGAGCTGGGGTTTCGGCCCATGGTGCTGTCCCTGTGAACTTGAAAGTGAGCACAGCGTGATCACTTCTTCCTAAAGGAGGAAGATGTTGTATGAGATCCAAATCCTCACCGTAGGAGAACACTAGGCCCAGAGTTGAAGATGAGTGCCGTGATTCATAGTGCGTGGACTTAATGACATATTGGACTAGGGCTAGCGAAATGCTAGATTCCGGCAGTTTATGATTAAAAGAGTTGTCTGGAGATGGCGTTGTAAGGCTTGTCCAGTCAACTGTCGGAGCGGATGTGTTACAAGGTTTGACACCTCTGTTTATCCTTATAGTAGGCTTATGCAATTAGCTGATATATCTAGTTTTACTTAAAACTAAAGTTTTGCTAAATAATTAACTACTACGCTTTCTTTAGTTTTTCTTCTTGGTGTTTCAGTTTTCGGATGTCTTCATTTCTCAGTAATGATTAATAGAGTATGAACAAGATGTCTACTCCCTTCGATCAACTAATCAATTCAAACTTGTTGGATTCACTTTGTCTTCGGATACTTGAAGTCTATTGTCTAAAGATGCGTAAAACTCCTGTAACATTAAGCCCAGACGCAAGAATGCATGTTATTAATTACACAATGGGTATAATTAAAAGTCTTTGTGATCCTACAATTCCAAATTGTGTTGTCGACATCCGAGAACGAATAGACTACTGTTTTCCCTCAAAAATTAGACCTTCTAATCAATTTCTGAATGAGATTCAGTTGAATGTTGAGAAGGGGAAGAAAAAAACTCTTTACATCTCTGCAGATAAAGTCTTTTCTTCTTTTAAGGTAGATATGCTTTTTAGTTTCATTCTGTTTGTAGTCAGTGTATCCGCACGTGGAACCATCTGTCTCCTTATTTTTCGCACATTTAATGGAGCATATTATGGGGCAGATTCTCCAGGTAATATATTATAATTGTTTTAATTTCCTAGTGGGCAATACATTACGAGTCGAAAATACATTCAGGATATATTGAGGGGACAGATATTCAAGTACGTTTGGAGCTCATTTACCGTTTTACTAATGAGAAGTTAATTAACCTTACATTTCATTCGTGGATAAAAAAATTATGAATACCAACGGTATCTTTCCGCCCAAATGTGGCTGATTACCTTAAGCAATCTACTTCCAGGGGCTACTAGGTTCTTATTCGCTGCATCCACTTCAGCTTCAGCAGCTGAGTCGTGCCATCAACCGTCACAATAAGTTATTGCCCATTTTTAATTAATGTATAATAGCGAATAATTAATCTTCTAGTCAGAATATCTTGGAGTTTAGTTTAGACAGCTTGTGCCATTCATTATCATTCTTGCAGTTCATCTTCTAAGATTAAATTGCCTGTGACTGAATAAGAAGTAAAAACATTTTCAATACTGATATATAGTTATACTCTAACCACTTACCACTACTTTCATAACACTCTCTGGGTGTCTTTCATGCGCTGTTGTAAGTGCATCATAGTAACATAGTGTTTGTAATTTAATTCTAATTTTTTAGCATATATTCAGTTTGTTCGGAGCTTCAAAGCAGTCAAAATCACCAGTTTGTCCCATTCCATCCCTGCACAGAAAGTCCAAAGACTACAAAGATTATGCAAAAGAGATACAGTATTTATTGCGATCTAGCGTTCAACATCTTGGGATAGTTGTACGAATATTCGGTGACTGTCTATCAGAGGAGTTGTCTCAAATCCGCACTGTTACAGAATCCTTTCTGTCCGAATGTGATGATTTAAGCGAAGTTAGCCTATCCGCTCGTCGTTTACTGACATCAATCAAATCTGCCCAGCTTGTTTTCGATCGTGCTTCAGAGGTGCATGGTCACATAACTCTATTAAGTGAATGCGTTGACGATGCTCAGGAAGATCAAACGCGTCTTCTTGGTTCATGTTTAATAGTAAGTTACAAATTCTTTCTCTGTCTGCATCAATAACGCTACTCTTAAGGGATTTCTCGGTATTCACCTCCAGACATGATGATAAGATATTCAAAAAAATGATTTGGTGTCTAGTTACTGTGCAGTTATAATGTAAATGGTATATCAATTGCGGTTAGATTTTAAGAGACTGTGCCATCTAAAACAAGTGGTTAGTGGGTTGTAAGGGAAATGAATAGTAAAGCAGCCACCATCACAAATCCGATGAACACTTTAGTGAAGTTCTTCGTCAACTTTAAACATTCTTTAAAAAAAAGACCAGTTATCCTATAATATATGGACATTTTAAAGATTTTAGGGAACCTTCCGAAATCTTTTGGAATTAATGTAGCTCCAAAGCTGGCAAAGATATTTCTGTGTTATGTGAATGATACTGTGAAGCGTGAATTATGACGGATAGCAAGCACGACAGTCCATCAGTCAGATTTCAACTTCATTAAGAACTATAAATAATAGATTATTATGTGATTAACCTAGTTACCTTGGTATGAACATCCGCAACCTCGGGTTAGCATTGTCTTTTTTTACTCTCTCTCTCTCTCTCTCTATATATATATATATATATATATATATATATATCACTGTATACTTATATTTAGTATATATTTTTATATATGTAGCTGAGCTCAGATTCTCATTATCGTTAACTATGTCAGCTAGGAAATCTGTAAGAAAATTGAATCTCACACTAAGTGAAACAGCTGCAGCATGTAAAAGACAACAAATGAGATGACACACCTATCCACGTTACCATTAATGAGTGGTCGATTATCTAAGTATTTTAATGTGCATCAATCCATAGGGAAAACCGTAGAAATAAACTTGGAGAAAGCAACATATGAGTTAGAGCGAATACTGTATACGAATGTATTTCATCTGGCTATTGAAAAAGTACCAGTGGTAGTTAATGTATTTATTTATCCATCAGTTCATTGTCCTCTTATAATCATCACTCTTAATCCTGTCTTATATTGACTGACAAACACTAGCAGCAGTCGTATGGTTTCACAGAATATCACTGATTAGTCTTGTTTCAGAAAAACTTCGGGTTTGTTGGTATTAGACGGTTGGAGGTAATCAGGAGGAAGCTTTGGACCTAGATTTCGTGCTAGCTGGCACGTATCAGCAAGGCGTATCTGCAACCTTGAAGGAACTCATGTCCCTTCTGAGATTCGAGTCTACGTCACCAAGCAAAAGACCAGACATACTACACTAGTTGCTAACTAGTGTCCAATCAAAACATCGGTTTTACTATTTTTCATTTTAATTAGTATACAATTGGTGGATGGTGGCTAGCAGTGGAATCCAGGATGCGCATTTCATCCTATTTGGGACTCGTCATCTGGATGTACCTGCATTTCTCAGTGAGTGATGATGTTCCCACGGAGGCAGGTACATCCAAATGACGAGTCCCAAATAGGATGAAATGCGCTTTATCCTGGATTCCACTGCTAGCCACCATCCACCAATTGTATACTAATTAAATGCCCAGACATCGTCAAGGCATCTGTACAAGAAGCCGACATGTCAACCTGAGACCGAGCACTTCGGTCCAATCAATCGACGGGAAAATCAAAAATTCAATTCAATATTTTTCATTTTGTCTTCATTGTCGACTCATAATTTTTAATATTTTCTTGATAAGTTACTCTCAAGACTACTTAAACGAAGAAAAAATGTTTGTAAATTCACTCAAGTGAAGTAAAAATAATATTTTGGCGGGTGGGTAGTTTTAGTACTGTTTATCAAGTGTATATTTGATTGTCATGGAGGTGTAGGAAAATTTCAATGTTATTATTAGTTTATTCAGCTGTTTCCTAAATATATAATATGTGCACTGAACTGGAAAACTTTGTTGTAATTAAATAAATGCTAACAGACAAAGCCTATTGGCAAATTCAGACTGCGCCTAGTTGTTGGACAAATTTAGACATCGAATTACTCTAGGGTTTTGTAGACTCAAGGTAAGAGACTACAAGTTTGAAGGTGGTACGATGGAGATGATAGTGGTCTAAGTTGTAGCTTTATGATATCGTTTCTCATACTTAGAGATGGGAAAAATGCCTCACTCCTTTACTTTCCCAGTCTCTTAATTAGGCATTTCAACGGCTCTTGGATTCTTGGTCATTGTGAACAGGTATAAGCAAATTATATTTGTAAATGTTATAATTTACATACCCGGATTCTAGAATTAATTCCAACTTTGACCTCTAGTTCATGAATGAGTCTTTTAAACAAGAGTTAGTGACGACTAGTCTGTGTAGATAGTGGTCTGTCAAATTGTATTCATTTTTCATATTCGTGTTTAGTAATAAATCTTATTTTAAGAATTAATATTACTGCTGTTTTACTAATCCTTAAATATGTATTTTAGGAACCTGCAGAAGACGAGACGTTTTACAGCTTTGCTCACTACTCAGATGCAGTTTTCAGCAATGATTGCCGAGAATGGATAAATGTTTTAGCTCAGATACCGCATATTGCACGCACGCTTACTCACGAGTTCCAAAGGATTTTACGAGTTACGTTAACTAACGTAAGACTTTGTGGTTAAAATTACTTGTATTGTTATTCAATTCAATATATATTCGCTACACCGTCGGAATATCATTGTAAACTCTAGTAGGTTTATGGCTGGTGAGACAGCTTAAATGTCACTCAGTTTTCACTGTCTTACAACCTTCGTGGCACGAATGGAGTTTGTGGTTCATTCTATACTTATTAATAAAATCCAAGGTACAACACCAATTCACCTGTTAAGGATCTACCTGACAACCGGAAATCTATTACTAAATACTCTAGATAATATGATTCAAGTGGTTTGAGTAACGCAGGTATGCTCACAACCTTTTAACGTCTGATTTCCGTATCACATCTTCACCGGTTCATTTTGCCCTCCTTTCCTGCTTTAGCGTTTTGCAGTTTTCGACTTCATGAGTTCCTTTTCTTCGTGTTAATTCTCTTCTTGTTATAGGGTGTAAATATATGAAGTGCATATTGACGTAGAGTAAAAGGGGGTAATGCCAAGTCTAATCTGTATGTCTTTTGTCAAAAGTGTGATATTTCGTTTCTTTCTTTGTACATCAAACAGATAGAAATGTTAATAATATGGTTGGAAGACCTAAAAGTCGCTGAAAAAAGAAGTAAAATAAGGTAAAATAAATTCGTAAACTGGCTGGCTAACTTGATCAAGAGAAGCTAATTTAGTGGCAGTAATTTGGCCTTCACGAATACAGTATTTAGCTGTTGCCGGAGCTTTATTTGTTAAGGCTTTTTGATATTTTTGATATAAGATACGAGTATTAAGAGCTCTGATATATATATATATATATATATAGTCAGGAGCACGACTTTTAGAGGATAGGTTTGTTATCTCTTAGAACGAATCTTCTAAATTGGTTATGGGACGGAAAAATTTGCAACTGACATAACTTTAAGCTGCACTTACTAGCACAAACAGATAAAGGACTCGAAAAGCGATAACTAAGGAAAAGATAAAAGTTAATAGATGCTGATAAATGAGTGCAGGAGATGGATATCCCTTGACTGTCTGTGTAAGGCTACTTCTTCCTGATGTGTGTACATGGAATTGGATTAGTATGCATAGGTTGGTTCACCAGAGAATGAGATGGTTTCAGCCAGCCAAAACAGTTTAAACCTAAATTATCCGGGACAGATTTTTTCATGTACCAAGCGAAGAACCAAACTTATCATGTGAGGGTTGATGATGCTACCCAGTTGCCCATATTAAAGTAAGTGAAGTGGGACTCGAACTTGCGACTCACCGGCTAAAAATCGACTGCTTAAGGCAATAGACTACATGCCCATCGCATTAAAATAGACACATTGTATCTCTCCTTACCGTGATTTCACTTTGGTTCGCAACGAGTTAATTAAATCTCGGAGTATTTACTGGTGAATTAATGCAACTTATCATGGATAATCAGTTTGAATTAATTGAATTTTCTTAGGAAAATTTACTCCAGATATTCTTAAGGACAATTTTGGGAGGCTACTTCAAGGCATAACGTTTGTATTCAGCGTATATCCTGTTAACTTGCGTTAACCTTTTCGTAACACTGACTTATCTCTTACTGTTTTCTATTTCAGCTACACGAAAATATATTGTATTAAGTAGAAATTGTCAAAATCTATTTTGTCATTTACCTTCATACTAACAGTCTTATCGGTTTTCGATCGCCAGTAGAATATGATTTTCATCTTTGATAACATTTGTACGTTTTTGTCATCCTGAAACAGATATTCAAAGTAACTAGCCTATTTTGTAGTAACGTATTCGAATCTGCATCCAAGACTGTTTATAAGCAACATAGTGCAGATCATTTTTAACGATTATTCTTAGCTGAATACTTCACCGGTGATGCGTATAAGTTATGAAACATTTTTTCTGTTAGTTGTCATTTGAATTCACTAAAATATTTTCTTGATTATAGGGAGGTCCCTTTTTTATTTTAGTTTCTTTGCTCGTCATTCACCAACAAGTTAGCGTAGACAATTTCATTGTTAAATTCTCTTTGGAATGTAAAATTAAAGTTAAATAGTTGTTCCTGTTTTTCAGGCATCTAGTCGTCGGCATGCAGAGATAAAATTACGGTTTTCTGACCCTCATTCATGTCCGTTGTGTACGACAAGTTTTACATATGACAGCGTAAATTTAACAGCACCAGGACAGCCTTCAGAACCCTGTTATGCATTACCTCATCAGTCTGACATTTCACAATCATATTGGCCGGATGCTGCTTCAGGCTATGCTATCAACAGCTGTGCGGGTAGGTGCGTAAGTAGTACGTACAATTCAACTGACAATGTTACTTCTCTATCTCTACCCTTCTGTTCTATCTCAACAAATCAACAATTTTTTAATTCACCATCTTTTACATCGTTTACAAATCCACGTCAACAAAAACCAACGGATCATTCTTCCAATACAAAGCACAGCACAAGTCCAAGATCAGTTAGCATTTCACCGTTACCTCTTCAGTTAGCACACAAATCTATACCTGATTTTGTAAATAATGATCGCATTCAGAATCAGACTGAAGAACTAGCTGTTCGAACTTCTGATTATGGTTTGTCAACATCGTCTTCATCATCTGCAATCAACGATGAAGGTATGAAGGCTGCCGGTGATAATGAATGCAGTTTAAATGAAAAGGTTTTCTCTGATGATACCGATAATTACTCTTCAGGAACTGGCTCGTTTAAAGAAGGTCAAGCACAGTTGATGGAACTCCTTCATTTCAGTTTCGATTTAACTACAGTCTCACCATCATGCAGTCATATGGTAATCGCCTTTCGTTATCTTCTACCTCAACTTTTGCTTCTACCGAATTTGCAGTTACTACAGCTGGCAGATCACATAGAGGTATTTTGAATTTTAATTTTTACTGAAAATTCTAAATTTTTCTTCTTTTCTTTCTATTGACATATACCAAGAGAAAACGAAGGTATACTGTTGTACAGTATAACTCCTGTACAGTTAATGATGATGATGATATAAATCCGGCTTTAACAGACTCAACGATTTGAACGTTTAGTACTCTACGTGGTTTTTTAAATCTTAAGCATTTTCATGAATTATGTTATCTTTCGCATTGATACTGGTGCGAATAGTTTCATGTGAATTAATTGTGGGTTCATAATTTTTTAAAGAGTTATTGTGGACAGATTTGAAGCAAATAGTCTTCATTTAATTCCTTTTGCAGAGATTCGTAAGATATCAGTGTGTCGGTGGTAAATCGCTCTCCAACGATGCGCATGGTCCAGGGTTCGATCCTCCGCCGACTCACTCCCTAGACCTCGCCAAGCTCGTAAAAGGGAACCGGAACTTCAAAACTCTAGCTTGAAACCGTATGTTCCACTGGGAACGTAAAGGAATAAAAGAACACAGAAAAAACATAAGATATCAGCAGGAAGAAATTTTACATTAACAAGATGACAACAAACTTGTGTTTTATTACAGTACTTCCTCTGCTAAAACATTTATTATCCATGTCTTCAGAGGGCTTCGTATGAAGTAAGACTTCTTTGAGAAAAAGCTAAGGATAACCATATGAATACATAAAACTAATCTATGCATTTTCCAACTAACGTTTAGAATTATTCAAGGAAATAGATGTTATCTGACTGACTTACTAGTCGATGACTCCTATGATGTGATCCAAGTTGATCACAACCGCACAGATATATTGAGTTGAAGGTTTGTTTGGATTTTGCCAAAACGCTCCATTGATAAGACTGGTAAGGTATCCAGCTTTCACTTAGCAACCATATGCACCAGTGTACCGCATATATATATTGGTTTAGGTTATTGAAAAAAGGATCTAAGAAAACCTCTGGTTTCTCTACATTCAACATTTAATTAGTTTACAGGATCTGAAATGAGTCGATCAAATTTTCCTTATTATTATAATAAACTAACGTATGAAATAATTTACGAGCAGATTGTATGTTTTAAATGTTTTAACTTTATTCTAAAATTTTACCAAATCTACTTGACTTTTAGGCTCTCCGTGCGCAAGCTGCTGAAGAAAGTGAACAAGCTATTCTCAGGGATGTAATGTCTATATTATCAAAAACTCGATCTTCTGTGTCCACTATATTATTTAATCAGGATTGGGTAAAACTTGTGTATCCGAAATTGTCCTTTTTGATGAAAACGCCTGTTTCTGATGATCCGTGTCCAGCTGAAGGAAAAAGCAGACTAGAAGAATTGATATGTTCAGTTCGTCGTATGCAACATCCTTCCGAAATTCCACTTGTTATGTCTGATTTCATTATGGGTATGTACAAAAACATAAGAATACAACTTGTACACTGTGGTAGAGTATAAATATATGTGTAAAACTTTGGCACTGTGGTAGTGAGCAATGCCATATTAGTTTGTTTATTAGATGTACCACACAGTGAAACAGTATTATTTACTATATGACGTTTCGAACAAAATTTATTGTTCATAATCATTTCATCAATAATCATCACACGACTTCGAAACTTGAGTTTTATAGTTTTATTTGTCCTCTCCTATTTGTCGTTAGGGTAGTAGAATTCTCCAGATATCCCGGACAGGTGTTGAATAATTCCTATTACACGTATTTTCAGTTGATTCGATGAACAAAGCTTCTGTTATCAATCTCTCCCTCCCTCCACCCTGTCAGTTGCATTAGATTTTAAAACTGCCATCCTATCCCATCCAGTGTACTGTATGGTTGTGTGTAACTGCATGTAGTGCTATAGCTGAATTGTTCTCTAGATTTCTTATCTTATTCGGATCAACCAATCTAGGTTTTGGTGGGTTCTTATGTTCGGTTAGTCTGACTGACCGACCCTGTTCTACTAGTTTGATCTATGTATTTGACCTGACAATCATTCCATTAGGGTATTAGATAAACTGAATTGTTTTGTTTTAAAGGCTTCACAGATGGGATCCTTTAACTGACAAAGCTTGTTTCTAATTGAGTTTGTGGTTGGTTTGAGTGTCAACCACTTTTATTCCTGCCTTGTTAAGAATTCTCCGTAAGGTGTTTTCCGAAGTTTTTTCTTTGTATGGAATTACTACTGATGATTTAGATTCCTTGTTGTTGGTGTTGTCATTATCTTGCGCATATTTGACATGAATGTCGTCATTAATATTCGTCTTCTTATTATTATGATTATCATTACTATTATTATTATCACTACTATCGTTATTTATTTTATTTTGACATTTCCCTACATATTTCCTGGCTAATTTTTTAGGCTAATTATTAAGCTTCAAAGCTGCTGTTATATGCCTCACTTCCTATCTCGGATTTTCCCTGGTACTACTTAGTTTTTGTGCTCTATTATTTTAACTTTTCATCGATCCTATTTTCACTAACATAGGATGGGATGATCGGAAATCCAAATATCTGTTTGAATATGTGGTTTTCCTGTAAACACTAGTGTTTAACTTCCCATCTTCTTTCCTTTTTACGCTGCAATCTAACATTAAAAGCTCCTCTTCCTGACTTTGGAATTCATAAGTGAATTGAATTGCCTCCACCTTTGAGTTAATGTGTTCGAAAAATCTTTCTATATCCTGTGTTTTAAGTACAGTGAATGTGTCATCTACATACCTCCACCATACTTTTAGGGTTGGGCTGAACGTTTCGCTATGTTTTCCTACCTATATCTGTCACAACCGGGGATATTGGTTATCCCATGGCAACTCCCTCAGTTTGTTTATATATCTTCCCTTGGAATTTAAATACTGTGGAAGTCAGGCATAGTTGCACTCCCAGCATTATGTCCTCAAGTGGCACTTTTGTCCTAAGTTCGAGTTCTTGGTCAGAAGTGAGTTCGTTTCTGACTGCTTGTATAGCCATATTTATTGGTATACGTGTATATAAACTGACAGTGTCAAAAGTAAGCATTTTTTTCTTCATTATCTAATTTTAAACTATGTAATCTATGTTTTAGTTCATAAGAATTTGTTAATCTAGATTTTGAGTGATTTTTAAGGAAATTAATACCATGGCTAAATATTTAGGTAGGTTTGATAGGGTATCCTGACTTATGAACTTTAACAACACCATACATCCTACTGGGGTTATTAGTTTTTGGCATTAAATTAAACCACTTAGACTCACCTAGAAACGCCGAATAAAGTCGTTTCTAAATTTTACCCACAATGGAATGTACAAAAACAGTATTTAAAAGCATAGTTAGTGTGAATTTAATTGATCAACACGAAAATCAAACATAACTGTTATCCCAACTGGGTTGTTTGTTTAATACAATTGGAGAGATAGCTTGGTACTTAGTGTTTTCCCGTTCATATCTCACATAATATTATTAGATTTCTTTGGCATTTAACGATTTTGTAATTCTCTTATTGATTATTTCGTACTGATGTGGGATAACAGCTGTTCAGCGATTTGGTTGACCAGAATACACAATAAGCACTTCTGTATTGTAATTCTGTGAAATTGAATCAGTTATATGAAAGCGTTTTCTCTGTCGCGTTTTACTTATTGTATTGTATTTATTTATTTTAATAAATACGTTTTAGGAACAATGTGTTGGAGGCTTTCATTTTTTTTCCTTCACGTTCCCAGTGTGATACAGGGCTTCAAGCTAGAGGCTTGAAGTTTCTGTAGCAGTGTTTATTTATACAGGATGGGGTTGTTGGCCTCATGCCCAACCTTTCCTCTTCACCAGCTTGACTTCTGGCTGAGTGAGGTAAACGAGGCTTTCATTACATGGATTTAATCAGATGTACAGATTAGGATACCGTTTTTTGGTATATATATATATACACCATTTTGCTCATTCAGTTTACTAGCTTTGTCTTTCGTCGTTTTATAGATTTCCTTCTGTTCCTTTTTTTTCCTTCTCAGAGGGCCGTGTACAGATAAGAACTGATCATAGTCGGCCTAAAAAGTGTGAACGGATGGCGTATCTTTTCAGTAATTGGTTACTTTTATGTAAGAAACAAAAACGAGTACTTGGTAACGTTGTATCTACTTCTTCGTCTAGTGCAAATTATGCCATGAAAGTAAAAAGCCGTATTTGTTTGGAGCAGTTTCATCTCATAGATCTAGCCCCGGAAGTCAATGATAATAACGGTAAGGTAGTTAGCTTTTAATTTTTCTTGGTTTTTTTTCCACATAAATTTCATGTTTGTTACTTAGAGTTCAAAACAAAGTTGATTTTTCGTAAAATATGCACACTTTTTGGTGTTTACATTGGTCGAGAATATATTCTAGGTTATTATTTTAGATTCACAAGCTTAATTTAATAATATACGTTATCGACTTATAAATAATTCCTCTTCTATCATAGCAATTATTGTTTTTTATTTCATCATTCTTTTTTGTAGCTTGTAGTGCATTCATGTTTTAATTGTTACCCAACACATTCAATGTTTAGTTTTAGTGTATTCAAACTGTTTTTTAATTATTAGTTACTGCCTAAATTGTTCTACTTTTCAGTTGTTTTCCGGCATACTATTTTTTTTATTCTTATGATTGGAAACAACTTGTAGATTGTTGTTTTATGTTAGATTTAACTTTTAGTACAGTGAGTTTGATTGTACAAAAAGTCATTTATGAGATGCCTATCAACTTTTAAAGTATCGCATACATATTCCTAAATAATTTTACATCAGTCCCTACAGTCCCTACTCCAAGTTACTCAAATCTGTTTGTCTTTTTCTCTGTTTGTTTTCATACTGGCTAGCGTTAGACAGCGCAGTATAGAAAACAAGAAGGTAAATCAGTTGATTGGGTTGTGAATGTTTCCTTGATTGTCGTTTCGAGTATATGTGTTATGCCTGGCAAGATGGTCGTTGTTGACTGAAGTTAAATCGGGTTGGAAATGACTTAGGAATGATCATATGGTGGGACCTTGAACTGCTGTTTTTTTGAGCTTTGTTCTATTTGGGAAATCAGCTAGCCAATGGGTTTGGAAAGAATGTAGACTACATACTGTTGAAGTGTGATTTGGGGTAGCCGAATAAGCGAAATCGTGCTTCATACATGTTAGACTTATACCTTTCCATCACAACTTAACATTATTCTTTCAATGTCGGAAAACTCCATGAAATCTTCATTGTCTGAATATTCATCCTTCTAAGCAGTGTGGCACAAAAATGACGTTAACAACATAAAATTCAGCATTACTGCAAATATAAGGGAAAGTTAAATTTCTTATTGGTATTACATAGATTGGTCTACACCATTGGGCTATTGTCCTTATACCTGAAAGGTGGATCAATAACACGAATTAACACTGTTTTTATGTTACATTTACTTTTCAGAAGTTACGTTTTCATTTGACTTGGAATTTTGGGAAGCACCAAAGTTGTCTTCTGTTATGTCTGGTTTTCAACACGACACAGCCAATTCATCTTTCAATTTACATTCATGTAACAATCCCACTGCATCTGGTGAACTTCAGTCTGTATTTCCTGGTACATTAAATCAGAGTCAATTTCAAGTTGGCAGTGTATTGTCTGTTTCGACGTTAACTAGTACTAGCACGTTGGTTGATAACTCTCCTGACTCCCATGTAAACTTAACTTCTGGAAATGCTGAAAACACCAAGTCATTGATTCTTCCAACAGCTGAAGATGCAGTTACTGCTTCAAATAATGCTCTTATAGACGTTATCTCATCTTACCCGAAGCAACGATTCACGTTCATCTTTCTTAGCAGAGAAGATAAAGCGAATTGGATGTCAGCTTTAGTGTATCTTCATTTATCTAGGTATTTTTTGTGCTTAAAATTATTCATTTGTTTTTGTTGTTGAATTTAATTATTATTTGTTGTGCGTAGTGTAGTTCATTTTCACTGAGATATTTTATAAGAGAGTTAATAGGTGAGTAAATTTAATTTCACGTAATGAAGTTCACATATCAGCTTATACGTACCGTATTGTTATCACTTTTATTGCATTTGAAACATAAACATCTCAGTAATTCAAATTCTATTAAGGAGATTGTATCACACAATAATTAGGAGGTATAACTAAAAAGTCAGGTTTATTAGTGGTGTTAATAATAATAATAATAATAATAATAATAATAATAATAATAATAATAATAATAAAGGTTACCGCCGAAATGTGAATCAGACTAAATTTGGAACTACTTACTTAAAGAATTGTTACGTATTATCAAGTATAACATAAATCAGTTATTCTTCATTTTACCAATCCATTTCTTCAACAGATTACAGTATGTGTAAGACATTTATTATCTATTAGACCACCTCAGGCTATTTAGTCAACCGTATTAAGATTTCTACAGTTTTCGAAAAAGTTAACCTCTTTTCTTTTCCGGGGATATTAGTCGCAACAAATCTCCCAGGCACAACAGTCATCGAAAATCACAAAATTGTTGAACATCTCTAGTTTGTTGCAGTCGAGGTTTAATGACGTAAAGTGTAGTTGTTGTTACTGAGATGTTTCATGTTCAAGATAGCACTAAATGTGCTTCGAAGATGTCCTAAACTAACACTTTTGTTCTTAACTTTATACTCTTACATCCTTCTTTTTTTGTTTCGTTACGTCCCTAGTGGAACATTGGGTTTACAGCTAGAGCTTTGAAAGTTTCAGTATCAGTGGTGTTTCTTTTATGGGAGGGGGGGTGGTCGCTCACTTCATGTTCAACCTTCCCTCTTCACCAGTCTTATAACCGGCTTCCTGAGGTAAAAAGGTACGTCTTCTGGGGATCGAACGCATGAGCACATGCGTAGTTGGTGAGCATTATACCACTAAGCCAGTGATGCACCCTTTACATCCCTTAATGTACACATATTACCTATGTTTTAACAAATTTTCCCCAAAGATGAATGCAAGAACCAGTTTTGGTGTGTAATTTTCGTACTTTCTGTTTTTCCTCATCTTTTCTGTTAACACATGCTTGGGGAAGGCTGTTACGCCGATGGTTAACGCGAAGACGACGGCTTTTATCCATTGCTGCTTTATAGAAATAAAGAGATGTGGAGATTTTAGGTTACCACCTAAATTCTCAGAAATTCCTTCTGTAAAAGACTATTAATAGTTAACGTCATATCCAACATTCTTAAAATGATCAGAAGTCCATCAATTGATTGGTCCGTAACATGTTTAACGACGTACGTACAGTTTGTTAAAAACAGTCAATGTATCCATGTGTTGCATGTCAGATGTTCCATCCTGATAATTTAATAAGAATTTAAGTGTATCTGAGAATAACAGACAAGACCTAATCCATCTAATGAGATCTTCCACAAACTTGCTTCTTTTTAAAGTTTACAAGTTTTCTGTTCTCATATCATACTCCTGTCTAGCAGTATCAATAAAATATTCCCAATTCAATAAATCACGAGAATTTTCTGTTATCCGTAAATAAAACAATCGTTATAACCCTACTGAATTACTGTCTCATAACTGAACGGCGTCAGAGGTAGTTTATTGAATACTTAAGACGACTGGTGATAAGCTGGAGAAGATTTTCCGAACACATTTAACGCGTTGATTTTTTATACTCACTTAATTCAAGTTAATTTGTTTCATATCGTATTCAAATTACAAGTAACTAAATCTCTTGTACAAATTCATGAGGCTGAAGTTTTCGAGAACAAATAATTCAGTGTCCTTTGTTTATTATTAAACAATAGATATTAATAGTGGCTGAATTCAACTTATTCCTGAATAACTTATATAAGAATTGGTAACAGTTAACAGCAGAAAGAATTAAGACATAATAAAATGTATATAGAATTTTGGAATGGGTTTGAAGTACTTGTGATATCATCTGATAGATAAAAACCCTGTAAAATGTAAGATGCTGCTACAGGACTGGACTACGTCAACTCCTAGCTTAGTGATAGGGAGTGAAGTGATAGAACATGTTGACCACTTCACCTATTTGGGAAGTTGTATCAGCACCAACGGACTGATTGGCGACGAAATCTCAGCACCCATCCAAAAAGCTCGAGCTGCTTTCGCCAACTTACACCATCTCTGGCGTAGGCGTGACATCCGGCTATCAACCAAGGGACGTGTGTACAGCTCAGCAGTTCGCCCCGTCCTTCTCTATGGCTCTGAAACATGGCCAATACGCGTTGAAGACATGAAAAGGTTGACCGCTTTCGATCATAGATGTCTGCGATCTCTGTCTCACGTTAGGTGGTTTAATAAGGTAAATTTTGATGTTCGTTTGAATCAATTATCTAGATATCCTAAAGGCTTCAAATAAAGATGGATTTGTATATTCAGAAAGATAATTTTCATTTCACAAAATCCTTGCTTGTAATGACACTTAGCATACCTACAAAAGCTGGAAAATCACTATCGTTGGTTATGCTGCAAACCTTTTATTGTGTTTGTTATAACTGTAGGGAATTGAATGAAGACGTTTTCACCTTGCTCTGTCTGCGCCTGAACTAATCTGCCTATCTGCTTGTCGTACCTTCCGATTTAGTAAAGCACGCAAATATCAAAAGACAAAGGCTGGACTGTGACTGTGTATTGAAGTGCGACAACGACAAAGGAAGCCATGGTATTTATACATTTTACAACAATATGGACAGCTAACAGCATTTGAAATAATTGATCTTAATAGCCAATAACAAAGTGCGTGAGAGATGATAATATACCATATGTGCGAGGTTGACAGTCAATAACAAAATGTGTGGGAATGATAATATACCATATATGCAAGATTAACAGTCACTACCAAAATGTGTGAGAATGATAATATACCATATATACAAGATTAACAGTAAATACCAAAATGTGTGAGAATGATAACATACCATATATGCAAGATTAAACAGTCAATACCAAAATATGTGGGATCCTATCAGTGTTGTAAACTGTGCGACCATTGAAATATAACTAATCAGTATATTTCATTTTGCATTTATCTAATGGAATAGTTTGCTTTTCTGTTGTTTAACGTTGTTTCTTGGTTTGCTATAGCATTTATGTGTCACTGTAGTCAATATAAATAGATGCTTGGATTAATCTTAGAAAGTGTTATCGTACTCCTGTCAGTGTTCACGAAGTGATGCATAGTAGTTTCCAAATCTCTGATTCGAATGTCTAAAGAGAAGTCCTTGATACACTTAGCATTCGCGTAAAATACAGTGTAATATTGTTGGCATTAGATGGTTGGGAGCAATCGTCAGGAAGCCTTCGACCTAGATTTCGTGCTAGTTAGCACTTATCAGCAAGGCGCATCTGCAACCTGGAAGGAACTCATGTCGCTGCTGAGATTCGAACCTCCGCAGTTCACAGAGCACCATGGTAGCAAGCCACCTAGAATGGTGGCCATATTGCGACTGTGACTGGTGATATTCAGTTTACACCAAAAATAGGACTAGACACATTACACTAGCTACTGACCGGTGTCCAATCAAAAATGTAGTGTAAAACTCTACAACTAGCATTATTCGAATTATGTTTTCCTAATTTGAATCATTTCAAGTGTTACAAAGCATTCTTCCTGTTTGAATAACACCCATAATTTAAGAATCAAAGCTGAATTTCATGCTGATTACATGTTGTTTATTCACAACATGTAAACTGTCGTCTTCTTTAGGAAAGACTTCCTGCCGGTGGCTGCATCCTATTTTCTCTGTGATGAAAATATGTATTAGTTAAAACAATTCTTCTTCCTACTCTGTGAGTAGTTCACGCAATTCTATTTCTTTTAACTGTTATAGATAATGTTTAAATCACTTCAGTTTTCAAATAGTAACATTGTATTTAGTATAATTACTAAATTAATGGTGTTTGTATTGTGTCTCGCAGATTGTTCAAACGATATCTAATGTCCCTTCCACGTCAAGACCTTCCTCTGATCTTACCGTCTCCTTCCATATATCGGTGAGTGTCTTTATTAGTTTCAGAATTTGATCTCTAGGCTGTCAGTGTTATATCGCTTATATTTCTCTGTTTAATGCCTGTTTTTTTAAATAACTCTGTGTCTAAAAGGTTACTGTAGCATAAACTCAGATCACATAACAATGTTTATTACTCAGACGGTTAGTTAAGCTCTGAAGCTGTTTAAAATTTCACATTCGTTACGCCTCCAAATTTATCGACTTACTGCATTTTATGAGCTTTAGATACTCATGACGGGGTTTGTATGGTAAATACTTGCATGATTTTGAATCACGCTTGTGTTTGATGCCTATCTTCTGATACTTTTATGTATTTCTGTTGCAGATATGCTGTTCCAGATTCACCACTTAATATTATTTTGGAACCTCCACAAACTGATGGCAGTTCAGGCATTCCTATTGTTCGTGCTGCAACAATCCTAAAACTCATTGAACGAATGACCTACCATGAATACTTTGACAGCAAAACTCTTAATGCCTTTCTTTTGGTATGTCTTGATTTTTTTTTAAAATAACATCAATTAGATGCATTTTTCTTATCTGACATTTGCAGTGTTGTAGGTTTTTCAATCTCTAAAGTGTCGATTAGGATCAACAGAACATTCTTGTAAATAATATTTCCTTTCACACTGATTTTAAAAGTAAAATTCAGTACGAGTAAAATCCCAACGCCGGTGGATGCGTACTGTGACGACTCCCAAACTAGGATAAAACAGCTATCCAGTACTCCCACGTTCTCCGTTGGTTTTCTAGACGATGTCGGCTCATGATGAAATCCTGCAACCAATCGAACAAAACATTCCTTACAAAACTAATACCTGTAAAATTCAGTACATTTGTTTTTATCAGTGAAAATTCCACCTAGGGGTGGGTCGTACGTCTTTCGTATGAAGCTAATATTTTACATTCAAGTGTTGGTTTGCAGAGATTCGAATAGCTACAGGATTTCGTCATGAGCTGACATTGGTTGGACTACTGTTGGAAAACCTGGGAGGACTGGACAGTTGTTTCGTCCTAGTTTGGGATTCTTCATCACTACGCACTCACTGGGACCCAATCCAATCTGCCTCTGTTTGTCTATCTGTTTTCGACATAGAACTTTGCACACATGTGCTGTAGTTCAAGTCTCCACACACCCTCCATGTAGCACACAGAGCAAGAGAAGAAAGTAGAAGAAATGCATATTAGAGACGGTAAACAGAGGTGTGGGACAAAGGAATGGTAGTAACGAAGAACAAAACAGTTTCATTGGAAATCATAAGTCACAAGGAATGGATGCATCTGCGTCATTGAGAACGATTTTGAACCATGTCACCAGTTGTTTCCAACCATTGGTTTTTACCGTCCCGAGGACCCAAACCAAGAAGTCTACACCTTCCTACGTGGCTAAAACTAACTGTTGTAGATTTCATTGACTGGTGCCATGTTTTTGTTTGACCCCTCCGCTAGCTCTTTTCTAGCCTGACCTTATATCAGCTAACATTGCCCATTGTCGAGGAAGGCGATGACTATGCATACGTAACACATGTCCTAACCATCTCAGTCGATGTAATTTCACAGCCTCGTCAGTTGATTTCCCCACCCTTACCTATCACTCGACGCCTAGCCTCAATATTGCTCACCTTATTATACCACTTCACACGGGAGATAGAGCACAGACACCTATGATCAAAGACAGCTAATCGTTTCATGTCTTCGACTCTCAATGACCAGGTCTCACAGCCCTAAAGGAGGATGGAGTAGACTACTGAACAGTACACCTGGCCTTTGGTCGATAGGAGGATATCACGTCTACTAAGCCAGAGACGGCGTAAACTGGCATATGCGAAACTAGCCCTCTGTATCCGTACTGAGATTTCGACAGAGATGAGCCCACTGACATCGGCTGATGCAACTTCCCAAATAAGTGAAGCGATCAACATGCTCTACCACTTCACTACCTATTTCTAAACTAGGAGTCAGTGTGGTCCAGTCCTGTAACATCATCTTACATTTGGCGTGAGTAAATCGCATTCCAAACATTCGTAGATTGCAGCTCAAGGTGTTCAGAAGACTCTGCATTTTGTCAGCGTCTTCACCTAGAAGGACTATATCGTCTGCATATTCCAAGTCAACAAGATTATACCCTGGTAACATGTCAATCCCTGAGTATCTGAAGTGAGTTAGGATTAAGTCCATTAGTACATCTATGATGAAGTTGAATAGTAAAGGGGATAATGGGCATCCCTGACGGACAGCACTAGTCGTCACCACTTCAGGTGACAACTCGCCGTAAGCCCTCACCTGGCTGCATGAGTACGAGTAGAGTGCCTTAATCAGTGCAATGTATTTTCTCGGGATTCCCTTTACAGCCAAGCATCGCCAGAGTACCTCTCGGTCGACAGAATCGAATTCCGCCTGTAGGTCAAGAAATATAATGACTGTTGGACGCCAGTGAGTGTGTCTATGTTCCAGAATCTGTCGGAGGGTGAAGACATGATCAATACACTCTCTCCCTGGTTTAAAGCCTGCCTGGCTCTCTTGTGTTTGTACCTCCCGAGCACCACTTGGTCTACGCAATATTATTGAGCCTAAGACTTTAGATACTATATTAGTCAAGCTAATCCCTCTGTGGTAATCACATGAAGACTTATCTCCCTTCTTGTATATGGGGATAATCAGTGACTGACACCAAACCGACGGGACTTCTTCTGTTTCCCAGACTCTGTCTGGAACATTAGTTAATGCATACAGTAAACTGTCTCCACCGTACTTAAATACCTCTGGAGTCATTCCATCAGGTCCCGCTGCTTTACCTTGTTTCAGATTGGTGACTGCTTTAGTAACCTCAGTTAGGGACGGAGGACCTGTGTCTATATCCCATTCAGGGAGGTTTTGGATGTTCGGGGGGTTGAGCGTGGCTGTGTACCAAATAAACTGCTCCTCATAGTGTTCTTTCCAGTGTTCCAATCGTCTATCCTGGTAGCTAATTATGGTGCCATTTTTCTCGGAGATTGTTTCACTTATCATTTGCTTTTTACCATCTCTTTTCCTGATAAGCCTAAGTAGTTGTCTGGTGTTACCAATCGTCGATGCCCTTTCCATCTCTTTCGCTTTTGTCACCCACCACTGTTCACGGTCGTTGCGAAGACTTCTTGTTAGTTTTCGTTTGAGTACCTTTCGCTCCTCACCATAATTGGAGCTCGACGGAATCAGTCTTCTTGCGTTAATCAGTTCGGATGAGGCGGTAGAGATCCAGTGGCTCTTACTAACTTTTGGTTTTAGGTTATTAACTGCTTTTACAGTTGTGTCTACAGCTAACTGTATGTTGTGCCAGGCTACCTCAGGGGAAGTCCTGCTGTCGACCTCAGACACTCGTTTAGCTATTTCTTCCTGAAATAGGGACTCGGAGTCTCGATCTAGTTGGGGACGTAACTGTTTAGCTGCCAGCAATTTCTTATGTCCGTTTAGTCGTAAGCATAAACGTGCGCGAACCAGAGCGTGATCATAGTCTATGTACGTGTTCCAGAAGGAGCAGCAGTCTTCTGCAGACCCTCGCCAACGATACCCTATTGCCATGTGATCTATGAGTCCAGCGTTGATTTAGTGACGGAGGTCGCCAGGTTACACAATGTCTCTGTGTTTAAAGTTAGTGGTGACTAGGAACAGATGATTATCTGAGCAAAACTGTAGAAGACGATCACCGTTGTCGGTTCGTGGGCAGGAAACTCCATACGTACCACTTACATACTTCTCAGTCTGGCACGACTTCCCTACTTGGGCATTGAAGTCGCCTGCTAAAACAAATATATCTGAACGTTTTGCTTTTTGCAGCAAATTAGACAGTTTCACGTAGAAGTCATCCTTTAGTTCATCTGAACTGCAGTCTGTTTGGGCGTAAGCGGAGACTACGAAAAGGCAACGACGGGTAGCGCCGTCTTTCCTTCTTTTAACGGACCCATTCAGACGGACCGCCCACATACGACTATCTACTGGGATTCGGTCAAGAAGTGATTTTCCTGCCCTAAAACTGAGTGCTATCCCTACACCTGCGAGTCCTCGCGAGCTGGCTGAGGGGTTTTGTGACACCCTTAAAGTGAATTTCGCAGATTGACCTTGTTGACCGGTTGAGGTTAAGTGAATGACCACACTCGGGTCTTGTATGCGTGTCTCCGAAACATAACATACATCCATGGCTCGAGATGCCAGAGTTCATTCTAGTGATGCCTATTGTCCGATTTGGCAAAGGGTCCTGACGTTAAATGCTCCTATATGAAGTTGGCAACGTGGCTTTGAAAGGCTATCTGGGGTGTTTCTATGGCTCTCGCCGTTGTTTGTGGTCACAGAGTGAAGTGAAGATGACTCACTAGCCTGCAGAATAGTACTAACTGTAGTAGAGAAGCAAGATGAGGAAAGTGATGTGGGTAAAGGAGAATGATGCTTAGGAAGGCTTCGTGTGCTTTTGGAAGTGTGTGGGCGGTTGTTACTTCCCGGCCGCCCACACCGCGGAAGTTGATTAATTCTTCGTGTACCTAAGACAAAAGGAGTGTTGTGTGACCGCAGAGCCCACGGGACAACTGCTTGAGGCCGGTCACACACAGCCTGTGTGAACTGGTCTCTGGGATTGGTTCCGTATTAGTAAACTTACCGCCGGTTATGGACCACCGTAGGTTAAGTCGAGATGTACAATTTTTGGGGTCGACCTTTTCTAACCCCCTCTCTCCGGAGTGGAGGGACAGAATAGCTGGCATGCTGATCATCTGAGGGAAACACCTCAGTGCTGTTACACCCCTGTTCCTCAGCAGTACGACTTCGCCCTTAGACCCCAGCATAGTGTAAGAAAGAATCTTACACAATGCCGGTAACTGCTTTTAGTCTAATCGCTATCCTAACAACCTTCGTGACATGGTAGGACCAGCAGGAACATTGGTTCCATCTAGTGCAGCTTGTTGGGCCATCGCGAAGCGCAAGCCCGACCACCACGTCACGGTTGCAGCTATCGGCCGGGACCCGATCCAGTGGCTCGTGAATTCCAACTTCTGCCAACTGACGATATAGTGTGACCACTAAACAATGTCATCAGCGAGTATTTGTGCTCTGACCCATTTGTTTTTATCGTTTGTTGCTCGAATTATAGCAGGAAGGTCCTGGGTTCTAACCCCAATGAGTGCGTACTGATGAATCTCGAACTTGGACGAAACAGCTCTCCAGTACTTCCAGTTTTTCTAACAGTTCTCCAACCGACGTCAGCTCGTGATGAAGTCCTTTAACGAATATTTTATATCTTTTCCATTTAGAATTCGTCATAAATAAACATCGACGAAAACTAGGGAGCACTTGACAGCTGTCCCCCTACAAAACCGAAAATCTAAATATTGATTTGCAGCTCATTGGCAGCTACTGAACTGGTGTTTTGAACTTATAACGTGATATTGTGGCTATGTCAGGATGAAGTAGATGCTGCTGATCACCGGCACTGATTGGTGACGAAGTTAGAACTCGTGGGTTTACGAATTCCTGTCCAATTTTCTGGAATAGTCAGCAATCTTGACCTCGTAAGGTATAGGTCCATGATTCAATCCTTGATGTGGTCGTGGGTGTGTACTGATGTATAAACCCAAACTAGGACAAAACAGCTATTCAGTGCTCTCTGGTTTTCACTGATTGGTTCATGGAGAAATCTACATTGAAATTAAACACAAATACCTACAAAGCCTATAATCAGAATATGTTATATGTCGACATACTCTGCATTGCTTTCAAGGTATAAGTTAGTGTCTTTGACTCATTTTTTTCTACGTATTGGTTACACTACTTCTATCCTAATGACTGGAATTCGTTTCCTACTACTTGCTTCATTTAACTTGTTAAATTTTGTATTAATATCTTTCGTAATTTGGAAGTAATTTTATATTCAACAAATCGTCTAGCTTATTGTCATTACATATAACATGCCCACTAAGTGAAAACTCTTACTGTATTAGTGATCAGCTAAGAATTGTCATAGAATACAATTGTAAATAGCTGACAGCTCATTATCATATACTTGTTGTCTTCGGCTACTGTTTGATAAACACTAAGTACAATTTATTTATCCGTTGTGGTTGTGTTTAAAATTATTCAGTGTGTGTGTGTGTGTGTGTGTGTATGTAAGAGACGGGGTGGAAGAGTTGAACATGGTTTATTTGCATGGTAGTTTTTACTTGTATTTCACTACATTTTCCAGGAACTGAAAAAGCAAGGGCAACAATAGAATAATCTAAGTATAGTTAAACAGTGAAATGGGTAATGTTAGAAAAGTTTGTCACATAATACACATAACTAATGTTTTATTTTTTAAAGTAATCTTGATAAAATTAGTTACACAAGAATACTTGAAGGCGAAAATGTAAAATTAATAAAAAATAACACTTGAGGAACTGAGTAAAAAATTCATTACATCTTGTGTGTGTGTGTGTGTTACACTTAGTAAAACTTTGAGATTTTGAATGCCGACCAACCCAGTAAACCTTGTTTCTACCATTACTTTTCGTTTGTTTTCCGCTTGTAGACCTATAGACGTTACGTTACAGCTTTGGAGCTATTGGATTTATTGATCGAGCGATTCAACATACCAAATCCAGATTTTACAGAAGCTGCCAATGAAAAATTCAATTCAGTTAAGGGTAGTGATTGTCTGACTACTGCTGCTTGGCGTCTGGAGCAGCGTTTTCGTTCAGTATACAAACGGCGTGTTCAATATAGGTTTGTTTTTTGCCATTAACTTATTTTTCTGTGGTCACACTTGAAAAAAAGCTGTATAAGATTGATTAAGTTGGGTTGGAATGGTAAACGTCTAAATTGTTTTTTTCATACTATTTGTAATTTTAGCAAGTTATTTGCTATAAATATTTATGTGAGCCGTAGAATATTACACGATTGCGTTATCTTCATAATCTCTTATATTATTTAATAATAGCCGTATCTGATACAACCCTCCTCTGCTTCTAAACTGATGGACTCACTTTAGTGAACATTTTCATGGAAGGAGGTTTGAAGGGCTTACTTGTTGAGAATCATTGAAAGGCTAGAAGTTTTTATGTGTAAGGTGAATGTCAGAAACAAAGTTATAACACCTTACATGATTAAGCAACAAATAGCTTTCGAAACATTTCCCAGCAGGTAATGGTGTTCCACTGTGTTTATATCCAATAAACAAACTGTTATAGTTGCTTTCGCATTTATTCTGTTCTAATTTATTTTTCGAGTTTGACCTCGGATTGAAATCATTTAGGGAACCATTGAAAGCTAGGGAGTACTGGACAGTTGTTTTATCGTAGTTTGAGAATCATTAGCAGTACGCACCCATTGGGGTTCGAACCCTGGATCTTCCGGTTATGAGGTAAGGTCGTAAACTCTTCAGCCACTGGGACCCGATTCAGTCATCTCAACTGTTGGACAGGTAGAATAATAAATCGGAATGTAGACATCTTAGTTGTATTACTTCGTAATTCCTCAGTTGTTTTATTTTTCTCTACATATTGCAAATTATTGCTACTCTGTGACATAAATTAGTGTGTTTTATTTCATTATAGAGTTTTAAACTTCATAATCAAATGGGTGAAAAATTCCTCCTATTATAAACTGGATATCCTGCCAGATGCTACATTACGCAGTAAATTATGGAGCTTTCTAGACACAGTTGATGCTCGCAATTTATCTGATAATGTAACTAATATCCGTAAATCACTACTTGGTGATCGAATAAGATCGGTGCCGACAATTCAACAGCTTCCACCTGAGCCACTTGATTTTGGCTTAGTTATGCTTTCAGATGATGTCAAATTAACCACAGTAAGATATTGCATATACCTGTATATTAGGTAATAATTTTAATCCAGTATTATTTCAATTTTACCTACACATTAGGGGATCTACTAAAGCTCTTAGTTTATGATAGCGATATGCGCTATTTAAAAAGACGTACGTGAATAGTGTGTAAAGTATCTCCAGAAGAGTAGTAGAAGTAAGAGATATTGAAATCGAAGAGAAAGTAATTTCTAGTCAGATTGCACTTTTTCCATGGAGAAATCAATCTTTATAAACACAAAATAATCGAGCAAACAATATTCTTTTCGATAAATTCCTCTTCTGGCTCTACAATTATATGCATGTTTATATACACAGAATATTCAAGGTTGGTAGTTAATAACAATATTAGTGTTTTTTTAAATAACATCGATTTGTAAAGTATGATCAATGGAATTACAGTTCACTAAAAATACTTAAATTATAATAGTAATAAAGATATAATAGCAGCCGAAGTTACCAACAGTTCCAAAAAAGGCCTTATTCTTGCAGATGCAGTTCCTTGGGGACAACACTAGCGAGATACTGACACAGCGCATTAGAAATGCGGTAAAACGAGCATTCCCTGCTGCTGAATTACGTTGTATCTTTAAGACCACTCTTCTTCTGCGTTCGGGAGTAAAAGACAAACTGTCTAATTTCGCCTCATCCATGTGTATCTACCAATTTAACCGCTCCTGTGGAGCCAGTTACATAAGCCACGCAATTAGGCGTGTTTCTCGTCGAATTTCCGAACATCACTCTGCGTGGTTAAGCAAAGGCCAAACAAAATTTATTCGTGGCGCTATTCTGGCTCATCTTGTGGATACAGAACATAAGATTGATGTTAACCAGGCTTTTAGAGTTATTTGCCGGATACCAACAAATCTCAACTCCACCTTAAGAGTTCGATTACTAAATATTTCTGAGGCTGTTGGGATCCACATTAAAAAGCCTAATTTGTGCGTCCAAAAGAAGTTAGTTCAGACACTGTCCTTACCTTGGCCATCTAGGTTTGAATGATCATGAATTTTTGTGGAAATTTCCTAATTTTAGTTGATATTCTATTCGCTATTATATCTTTATTACTATTATAATTTAAGTATTTTTAGTGAACTGTAATTCCATTGATCATACTTTACAAATCGATGTTATTTAAAAAACACTAATATTGTTATTAACTACCAACCTTGAATATTCTGTGTATATAAACATATATATAATTGTAGAACCAGAAGAGGAATTTATCGAAAAGAATATTATTTGCTCGATTATTTTGTGTTTTATAGATATCTGAATGAATATTTTTGCTAAATAAATCTTTGTGTTTTCAGTGTTTTTCTCAGTGTGCAAATAGCATTTGAGTGATCAGTCGCATATCGTTGTGTATTGAAGTAACAGTAAGAAAGGACTCAAATTCTAGTCATTAACCCTGGTTACAAATTTCTGCCGTTGAGAATGGGATCCGAATGCACGCGAAGAAACCCCAATGGATTAGCTATCCTTCCGAACAATACATAACAGCGAAGGGGGGATGAACAGTGTTCATAAAAGTTGATTGTTATATTTAGCTGGTTTTTTTTACTAACTAAATGTATCCAGACGAAATTATGAAGACATTAGAATTGTGTCTTCGATCCACGCTATTTACATTTAGAGGGGTTCTTTACCATCAAACAGAAGGCATTGCTATGGGATCATCAGTATCTCCGCTAGTCGTCAATCTGTTTATGCACCCATTAGAAACAAATGCAATTATGTGATGTCCTAGTCCCCCAAATATGTGGTTAAGATACGTATATGATACCTTCGTCATAATCAAACATAGTTTGTGAAATGAACTTTTTCACTTAATAAACAATATGTCAGAAACCATCAAGTTCTCCAAAGAGGTTGAATCCGATGAGAATGAGTTGGCGTTACTGGACTGTTTAGTAAAAAGAAAATTAGATGGCAAATTTAAAATAAACATTTTCAGAAAGCCGACAAATTCGGATAGATACCTAGACTACTATTCAGCTCACCCATTTACCACCAAAGTAACTGTGGTTAGGAATCTGATCAACAGAGCCAAACGTCTAGTTACTGAGGAGGAAGATATTAGCAAGGAACTAAAATTGGTTCAATCCACTCTTGAATCAAATAATTATCCTAAAGACTTCATAAAAAGTTATTTAAAATGTGAATATAAGGATGAATGGAAACCTGCTGCTAAGAATCGGGTTAGTACAGCAGTGATTCCTTACCGCAAAGAAACATCCGATGAAATAAAGCGAATCCTTAACGATCATAACATAAGAGTGTATTTTCGTGCAACTAACATCTTACGCTCATCACTGGTGAAGGTCAAGGATAAAATAGAACAAGAAAACCACCAGAACTATGTATACCAGATCAGTTGTGGGGATTGTAACGCCGTATATGTAGGAGAAATTTCCAGACAGGTAAGAGTGAAAAAGCATAAAAAATGTCTAAAGGTGGTTCCAAAGACCTCTGCAGACTTGAAGAAGCTAGAAAACAACTCAGCGATTGTACTACATTCATTAGAAACGGGACATGAAATCGACTTTGATAAGACTAAGGTTTTACAGAAAGGTTTTGGTTTATGTAAAGAAAGACTGACTACATATATGGGTGAATCCCAACAGTTTGAACGGACGTGAAGGTGTAATGTTAGCTGATGCATGGCAAATCCTGAGCAATAAATAAAATTGGATATGTATCAACAACTAGTCAACTTCCCGATTGTATACGTCTTCTTATGGAGAGAATAACAAATGTTTTATAACTGTTCTCTCACACACACCATTGTATACTGCATATACACATATATTTTAACAAAAGTAGACTAATTATTGAATTGAATTTTTGATTTTCCCGTCGATTGATTGGACCGAAGTGCTCGGTGTCAGGTTGACATGTCGGCTTCTTGTGCAGGTGCTTCGACGATGTCTGGGGATTTTATTTGTATACAATTGGTGGATGGTGGCTAGCAGTGGAATCCAGGATGCGCATTTCGTCCTATTTGGGACTCGTTTAGTGGATAACGCTTTGGCGTTCGAAACTATGGGTACTGGGTTCGAGCCTCGGTGGGAACATCATCACTCACTGAGAAATGCAGGTACGTCCAGCTGACGAGTCCCAAATAGGACGAAATGCGCTTTATCCTGGATTCCACTGCTAGCCACCATCCACCAATAGTATACAAAAGTAGACTAATTTTAAAAAGTCTGAGGTCAAATTTTGATCGCAGTTCATACAGTTTTTATTTGTTATACCTGCTGTTACCTGTTTCATGATTCATATGAGACAACAAACAATTTAAAAACAAGAGATATACTTTTATATATTAACATGCAATTTTGTTTATCATACATGTTGATGTCTGTTTCATGACTCATGATTGGACAAAGTTTCAAAAACAAGAGATGTTCCTTTTATATATAAACTTCTGTTATGTTAATTTCGATTATTTTCCCTGAAGAAGTTCGGACCAGATTGCCGAACGAAACGTTTGTGCGTCGGTGGCACAGTGGTCAGGACTCTTGCCGACCATGCACATGGTCCTAGGTTCGATCCCCTGCTGGCGCACAGCTGATATCTATGGTCGGCCTGCAAAACCTGGGCTACCGATATCCATGCTGAAAATTTCATACTTGTACCAAAAATACAGTGTGGAATCAAGCTGTAATAAAAAAATTTCAATTTCGCTGAGATCTTACAAATATAATTACTATTTTATCCCGTTCGGAGCATTCAAACTGCTAAATAATAAAGATATGCTGATGGCATCTTTATCTCACTAATTGAACCGTAAAAAGAGATTAAAACTGCGTGTTATGTCTATCAACTGAAATTTCCCACATATCTCATCTATAAACTGTGAATGTTATGCATCAGTCTAAAGCAGCAAATATTATTTTATCAAAAACAACTGGCTATTAGGCTTTTCATTCTGTTGTAACTTGATATTAGGTGGGAACTGTTTTTGGACTAAGTAATTCTATATGACTATAGGAAGTTAGGGGAGAAAAATTGACAGATCTTGTTTTTTTTCTTTCTTCTTGAGAACTCGGTGACTAGGGTCTTTTTGACACTGAGATTCTTTTTTTTTCTTTCATTGGATTCATATAGAATATCAGAAAAAATAGGCATGATTGTTCGTTAGATTTTTGAGAAAAAACCTTGACAATATCATATTAAAAGATAATTTATCAAAATTCCATGCCCAAAAATAAAACTGATGTGTGTTTTTTGCACTCAATGGTATCAGATTTTCGTAGTAATTGACTGATTATTTTATATTATCAAACAGAAAGCATTCTGTGGGAGAAGGATTTTGATATTGATTAAATCATAAACCAAATATGAGACAGAGTCTGAGTAACTGGTAAATTAGAAATGCTCTCTCGTTTTTCAGATTCAGTTATTAACGAGTTCTAAAATTAAGACATCGATAAACTTTATGTAATGGGATACATTGTTAACTTGTTAAATTTGTAGGCTGGCTATGAAAATTCCGAGACCTCGTATTATAAAACCAGTACTCGTCACCAGTTGGTATAGTCGAGTGGCGTGGAGCTTTTAGCGGTTGACTAAATTTCATCAGACTTGCAGACTTTAGTCTGCAATGTAGTCACAAAGCTAGATGACTCGCCAATAGGGTGCACCGTGAATTGTTGTCAAGAGGTTTTAGGCAAAGTTTCTTTCCGACTGCCTCGAACCATTCGGTACTATGCACTTCAAATCATTTGATAGTTCACATGTTTCATCAAATCTAGCTACTCCTGACCGATAGCTGCTACTTTGACGCGGTGGTCAGCCTTGCACATCGCAATGGCTCAACAGGTTACACTGACTGGAACTAATGTTCCTGGAGGTCCTACAATGCTAGGAAGATTGCTGGGATGGCTATTACACCAAAAACAGTTACCGGTAAAGTGTGTGATTTTCTTCTACACTATGCTGAGGAGGTCTGTGGTCGAAGTCGTACTGCTGGGGAAGAT